GGTGTTCAAAACACGACGTTAGAGGAGGTCCAAATTGTGAATATCACAGGTACAAATATACATATGTTTGTAGGAGCATACATACGTACATGTACATATTATATTAATTGGATCGCGTAATTTCAGTAATTCGTTTCTTCTACAGCGAAGCCGTCATCGACCATATTGACTCCCAGCTGTAACTTCTCCAGTCCTTTAATCGTCTCCACCAGCTCGCCGTTGCCCAAGGAAGCATCGGCAGTAGAACCGCGACAATATTTTGCAACAGTTGCACAACAGCGGCAAGCACGGAAACGCAGATTCCGTGACCCAAATAATGCCGAAAATGAAATGCGCCAGCAGCTTATAAATCTTGAATTAACGCAGTCACGCGAACTCCACGCAACAAACATGCGCCATGCCATCGAGTTACATACTGCTAATATGGAAGCGGTTATGCTACAAAAAACTGCTCAGAAGCAAGTAATGCAATACTTCGCTAAGCGGGAACAAGAAGCGCAGGAGCGTCACAACCTATACTTAAAGACGCACAAACCGATGAATGCACAAGAATCTGAAAAAATCGTCCAGGAGGAGCTTGAAGTTTCGAGCTTTTATGACGACATAAAACATTCAGTATAGTTTCGCGCAACAGTGTGTTATTTATTTTTTTTTTTATAAGTACAGGTTTTATTTAACTAGTTTTTCTTGTTTAATGTTTTTAAAACAAAAATATGTTATTCATTGCAAAAAATAAATGAATTAAATGAAATTATCCTCCCTTTTCTAATCAAGGCAAGTGATTGGTGTGTGTGTTCACTTGGTGACGAAACATATCGAGGAGTTCGTTGCGTACATTCCTGCCATAGTTACTATTTGGAGTATCTTCTGTCGCACCACTGTTGATCTCTATTTCGTTGCTCGTGAAGCCAGGTGGTGTGTTGGGTAATTGCTCATTCTCATCAAAACAGATGTTGTGGAGTACTGCAGCGGTCGCAACAAGCATTTGTGCAGTCGATGTTTTGACACGCAAACCATAGGCCAATGCTGGAAAGCGTCGCTTCAGCACTCCATATGAGCGTTCCAAGCAATTCCTGGTGGCGATAATTGCCCGCTGATATTCCTGTACGTGTTGTAATCCAGCGCGAAGCTCAGAACTATTTTCTGCGAATGGCGTTGCCAGGAAGGGAGAATTGGCATAGCCGGGATCACCGACTAAAATGTAGTGGCGAAATTCGCCCGCTTCGAATTGCTGCCATAGTGCACTCGACCGAAATATAGTCGAGTCGTGTGCCGAACCCTGCCATCGTGTAACAATGTTCATGATTTTGAGATTAGCTGCTGCAACGGTTTGTACATTCAAAGAAAAATATCCCTTCCTGTTTCGGAATATTTCCGCGTTTGGGCCTCCCGGTGACTGAATTTTTATGTGTGTACAGTCAATGGCTCCAATGACTCTTGGCAAATTTCCAAACATGTAGAAAAGGGCAGCCGCCGTTTTTAGTTCCTCCTGTGTCCGCGGCATTCTAACTATGTCAGGCAGTAGTCCGAGAACTGCTTTGCACACTTTTGGCAACAAGTTGCTAATCGTAGGTTGGGAAACTCCTATAATATCACCAACGATAGACTGCATGCTACCAGCAGCCAAGAAACGCAATGTGCATAGTAGCTGCACTTCGTGTGAGATATAGCGTTGTCTGTAAAGGACAAATAAAAAATATTAAATCAGTATACATATGAACTCAATACAGCTTTTGATACCTTTGATGTACCTCTGGCATGTAAGGCACAATCAAGTGTAGCACGTGTACAAATCTTGCCTTTGTCATACGGAATCGAGAAAAAAAGTCAAAATCGTCCCACGAGTGCATTTTTCTTCGTTCTAGCATTATGTATGGTCGTCTATTGTTATGGTCTTCGTCGTAAATGCGTTGAGCACGGTCAATTCCGATCAGCACATTGGTTCGAGATGGGCGCGCCATTATATCACCTAAAATGGATAAAAAAAAGGATAATTACAAACTAAAAACAGTTTACATTTCTTACCTGTATGTATTTCTAAAGCAGATGTAAGTCAATAATGAATTTTGAACGAATAACATGGAATAACTGCCTTATTCGCTCGATTCTGCCCGCTTAGTTATTCCCCGGAATAACAATTCTGACTTTCTTATTACACCTTATTCCGTTTTATTCTATGCGTCAATAATACACTTATTCCAACTAATTCTCCTCTATTCCGTAAATATTCTTATTCCGGCAAATTCGGAGTGTCAATAATATGGCCGTTACTAGATACCTTATTCCTTGACAGCTTGACTTTATGTTTAAAAAATCTGATCTAGGTACATATATACTTACATACATATGTGTATACATATGTATATTATTGCTGATTTGTTTTATTCGACATCGTTCATATATATGTGTGAATATGTATACTTTACAGATTTTGGCTTTCATTCAAAAACTGAACGAGTTTCTTGGAAAAGTTTCCATAAGGCGCAGTCGTGTTAAAAAAATTATAAGTACCACAATTTTTTCACTCTTATCTAATCTGTTTCGTAAAGTGAACATTCAGCTTTTATATTTGATTGCAAAAAGAGTATTATTACTTGAAACGAATTCGTTGTCCGAAATTTGTGAACTTCTTTTTCGCAATTCACCTTTCCAGTTAAAATTGTGATTAAAGTTTATTTTTTATTTGCTTTTATTTTTAGTACCTAAAATGATTAATTGATCGAAGTAAAGAAGAAATGTCTTACGGACGTTTATGATGAGCAAGTTTATGGATGCCGTTGATCTTCTGAGGGTAAATAATGGTGTCAGTTGCAGTTTTTTTTTTATTAAAGTTTTGGTTAGTATTTTTGTCATTTGGTTGGAACTTTTTACTTCTTTTAACTGTTGATGAAGAATTAGTGCAATGAAATACAACTGAAGAAAAAACGATTATTTAGATACAAAACATTACTTGCCACACATTGCAGAATACATAGTATAATTGTATTTATTAGTATGAGTATTTGAAGGTGTATTGTTGTCGGTAAATTAATAATTATGCGAAATTGGTTAACATGAAAAATAGTAAACAATTATTATTTTTTCTTTTTTCTAACAGTTTCGTATGTTTTGTACGAATGTAGTGTACGCACATGTAAACTTTTTCTTAATGAATGATTTTGGTTACTAAGCTCATTACGAAATTTCTTCGATTTGGCTGTACATTGCATGGTTCAATCATATTAACTGTATGTGAGTGAGGTTCAGCTCAAATTGGCAGTCAACACGTAGCTTTGATTTTCTTGGTTTGTGTAACAAAACGGATCGTGGGCTTCTCCCACCGTTTGTAACTCTGTAAACCGTTACAGGCTTAACAGTATCTCGAATAGTGAAAGTGAAGTATATGAATTTGATAGTGAAGCTAGCGAAAGGTGATATCTATCAAAATGCGGATAAGTATTACGATATATTTTCGCAAAAGCCTAAAATTCTATCCCATTTTATGGTAAGAAACATAACTTCTTTATTTTTTTTTTTTGACGGGAAGGCCAGCGATGGCTTAGATTGCATTTGATAACGTTTTAATAGTAATCATGTATATCGGTTATCTACTTCTCTGCCGTGTCCAAAGGGAAGATGAGATTGCCCCTATCCATGAACCTTGCGCTACTACCCAGTGGGAAAAGTAGTAATGCATTACATGCGTGATGAATAATGAAGTTATGAGTTCTAGATTCTTTTACTGTTTAATATGTAATCAGCATTCGAATGTATCCAAAGAGTCGCAAAAAATTCATAATAAATCGCATTAATTCCTGCATTACTGGCAATGCAAAATTTAATGCCACACTTTTCCTAGGACATCGTCGTGGGAAAAACAATGCAATTTCGAATGTGAAAACGGCTGTTTTACTGATCATTTTTTCGAATTCCATACATTAAATTTTCGCTCTGGGTAAAGATCGAATTAACGGGTTGGACAGTAATAAATACCGGGTTGCCCATTAAATTGATAAAGTTAAACCAATGCGAATTGTGACTGTCGCATTCGAAACTTTATATAGTTATATGGCCCATTATGCGAATATTCCACCTCAGTAAATAATGGAAGTGGTCACTGAAGCAAGATCCCTGCAAACATGAAAGCTCAGCATAACTAATGGGCAGCACAGACACCAGCGACCGCGATGAAGTACTCGTTGAATTGATATTACATATATTTCAACAATACCAGTGGCAGAAAATTGCTTGGAAAATCGGATAAAAACGTCGCAAAGGAAATTATTAACACCTTTTCAAGTTAACTATTCAAATAATAAATAATCTAGAAATATTCACATTTCTTACAGATTATGTACTAAGAAGTAACCACAGAGTATCTTATAGCTAAGAGTTACGCTAATAATTAATTTAATAATGATTTAAAGCTTAGCTTGGAGGAAGAAAAATCGATAGCCAAAGAATTTGAAATGGAATTAAATTCTTTCAAAGCTCTCAAAATAGGAGCATGAGATGCATAAGTAGTTCTAACCCGTTCTACAAAGAACAGATCACTACTCCGAAGGCTTCTTTGAGGAATATGAAAATAAATGCGCTCAAGAAGGAAAGGAGAGTCAGTCACTCCACTTACTATGTCAAACGCAAAAGAGAGCGAAAGGATAATCCTTCTACTATGCAAAGATTTTAAATTAATTAGTAAGCACCTAGCACTATAAGAAGGCATCGGATACTTGAACTTCAAAGACCTAAGAGCAAAACGAACAAAATTCTTTTGAACGCGTTCAAACCTCTTGATATGGCAATCGTGATACGGTCTCCATATAAAGACTGCATATTGCAGCTTAGACCGAACGAGCGCAGTGTGTAGTAACTTTAAGGTATAGGGATCCATGATTCAATAATAAAAGGTTTGCTCAAAAAACAGTTTTCTCGCTCCCTCTTGACAAAATCGGCTCCCTTATCAAGTAAAGTCTGACCCAAACCATCGAATGAAGGCTAG